CTTCAAAATTTGCGAGTAATGTCAGTTTGGCCTTTGATTCTCATTCGTCAAAAGAAAATTTGATTAGAAATAAAAAGCTTATTGTTTTATAAGCTAATTATTAGTCTTCCACTATGGATACACCTAACGACCGCAAACTGTTGCCGAGATATTTTATTAATTTTAATTGTATATTTCAAAATTCATATCGTAAAATTTCAAATATGAAATATAATTGTAACCACTAATTTATTCCACTAATTTCGAGGTTCGGAATGAGATTCTTGGCCTTTGATTATCATGCATGAAGAGAAATTGTGGTGAGAAATGTAAAGTTTAGTGAAGGGGTTCTCTATAGATACAACTGACTTCCGCAAGCTGTTGCTAGGATATTCTATCAATTTTAATTGCACTTTTTAGAGACTATTAATGATCGTAATTTATTAATTATAATTGAAACTAATAATTTATTCCACTAATTTCGAGGTTCGGAATGAGATTTTTGGCCTTTGATTATCATGCATGAAGAGAAATTGTGGTGAGAAATGTAAAGTTTAGTGAAGGGGTTCTCTATAGATACAACTGACTTCCGCAAGCTGTTGCTAGGATATTCTATCAATTTTAATTGCACTTTTTAGAGACTATTAATGATCGTAATTTTTTAATTATAATTGAAACTAGTAATTTATTCCACTAATTTTGAGGTGAATGAAGCTTATGAATCAAAAATTAAACCTAATTATAAAAAAATTAAACCTAATTATTGAGATAAAATAATTGATTTTTTTATCATCCAAGTAAGTGCCATGTAAAATACGGCTTGGAACGATTTAGAGGATGCAAACAAATTTTGTTGGCGCCGTACAGTGATTTATGACAAGTCCCAGAAGACTCTTGAGGACTGTTTGCTTTTTAGATAAATAGCACTAATTATTTTTGTGACGTAAATAGAACACACTTAGAATAATCGATATGTTTACACGATAATTTACAGAGAAGAGAAATATCAAGCATGTGTTATATGCATTGACGCAGTGCTCTTATAGCATATGCCAGTTCAATTTAAGTAATTAGCTACTACATATTTAGTTCTCCATCTCACTTAGTCATATAAAAAACAAATATAATTTAATAAACACAATTTTAGATTGCCAATTAAACAAGTAATCAATAGCCAGACATTTTTAGAATAAATAATTTAAATTTTAATTTTATAAATAAAACCTGACTATTTCCGTAATAATTTAAAAGGAAAGTTTATTTTAGGGTATAATAGCCAATTTTAATTTTAAAATTTGGTTTTTAGCATCTCCTTGTCAAATTACTTATTTGGAAGTTGCGTCGTTGTTCTTCAGAAGCGGCAATGACTAAAGAATATAAGGACATGTAACGCCCCTATACGGGCTGCAACAGAATTTGTGACCTTTTTTTTTTGTTTTGGTGGCAAACAATGAGTCATCATTTGGTCACCAGCGACAATTTTAGCGATTTTTAATAGTTTTTGTGTAGTAAACTTTGTATAAACTTTATTATAATGGTGATTAGTTGTTCAGCTTTCAAGTGTAAAAGCAGCAGCGATAAGAAAGAGCCAGGAGTTACGTTTCTTAGGTAAATAAACAGTCACTCCAACCTTTTAGCGTTTTCTTATTGAATTCGATAATTATTCTTCAATTTCAATTAATATCTATATGTACTTGATATGTGCTATACGTCGATACTAGTTTTGTACCTTTTGTTAACATTTTAATACGTTTTTTTCGTAATTAATTAGGATGATACACCATAGGCGTAGTCAAAACAATTATCAAAAACTATAAATATTGCTTCAAACAGCTAGGTTAAGAAAAATATGTGCCACGGCACTGTTTGATGGCATCGTCACAATTTGCTCTCGGGTGTTATTTGTCCTTGGATTTTTTAGTCATTGAGAAGCGGCAATTTTACTTTCCAAGTACTTCAAAACGTTGTATCAAACTTATTTATCTTTAAGTTTTTTATTTAACTTATAATATGTCTGTTACGAAAGCATCGTTATAATTCTATTTAATTACGTATTTTTCCTTAAACAACTACTACACAACTCGTGAAATAGGATGAAGTAAGTCAAACTCGAATGGTAAAGATTTCGTGTTTCCTCGCCTAATGCAAATAAGCCAAGACAAGGCAAAGCTAGGCGAGGAAATACGAAACATCCCACGTTATTCGACCTTGACCTACTTCGGGTTATTTCGTGAATAGTGTAGAGGCTATTTTAAACTGTAGAAATATAGAAATTCAAAGATAATATATTCTGTTCTATATTAAATAGAATATAGATACTCCAATTGTTGTAATCAGAATCGCTAATGCTGTTAATTAGTAAATATTTTGCAAATTTCTAATTGTGAGTCTTCCTTAAGTAGTGCTAAAGTTAAACTAAAAAAATGTATTTTTTAAGGGTAAGGTAATGTTAAAACGCCTCTAAACACAACATGCATTAAAGCAGATATAACACCAACAGACCAACAAACAAGTTGAAATTAGCACACAAAAATTTGTTATACCGGGTGGTACGAATTGTATTCCGGAAACTTCGACAGCATATTCTGCAGATAAAAATAAGTAAAAAGGTTCGTATAAATGTATGTTCTAAAATGTTTGGTTTCGGAGATACAGGGTTTAAAAATTTCATTTTTATTTCGATTTTTTCCAAATAATTTCTGCAGTAACGTCAATATTTGGATGGAAATTGGTGTCTGGGAGTTTATTGACATGAGAAACTTCATTTTGATGTCAATATGACTCCTATTTCTAGGGGGCGCCACCTACATGTGTTTTAACTGTTTTGAAGAGTAATAACTTTTTGTCCGTACCTGTATAAAACGATTATAAAGCGATTTTTACCAAGAAACATTTTTTACGTAAAAAACGTCGTAAATGTACATTTTTTTGCTCAGTAGTTTTATACAGGTACGGACGAAATGTTATTGGTCTTCAAACCAGTAAAAAAATATGTCGGTGACGCTCTCTACAAGTAGGAATCATATTGACACTAAAATCAAATTTCTCATATCAAAAAAACTCTCAGATACCAATTTTCATCCAAATATTGACGTTCAGAAATTATTTGGAAAAAATCGAAATAAAAATGAAACTTCTACACCCTGTATCTCCAAAACTAAGCATTTTAGAACATACATTTGTACGAACTTTTTGACTTATTTTTATCTGCCGAATATGCTGCCGAAGTTTCCGGAATACAGTTCGGACCACCCTGTATATTAAAATGTTGAAGTATTTTTTTAAAATACATATTTTTAATAGTAATACAAACTGTAGACTGTTTTCAGTTTTAGTAATAATCATATTTTTTTTTACTTTCGTGGTTTCTAATACCGTATAATCGAAAATAAAACGGTGCCAAGTTGACTTTGAAATAGCGATCAAGGACATTCACTAACGAATTTTACATATAAAATGACAGTAGTCTTCGTTTCCAAACCAACTCTAACGTCGTTTTTTTTTTTCGATTGCATAGTACCTCGCCTATTTTCATAAGAAATTGGTACCTGGAAAAATCTCAACGGAGATGTTAAATCACAGCTTTTATTCAGTATATATGACAGTCACAGATATTATTTGATATTTTAATTCCAAATGCAGAATATACCCCCGGCAATTTTTGGACATCATCTGTCAAAATCATCCGTTCTCTCATTGAACATACTTAGTTATATTCATATGTTTTGGAAAGTTTGCCTATTATCTACTCATGTCAACTTGAATAAATTACATTGACGTTTCCACGACAGAGGAAAGAAGTTTCAGATAATCAGTAGTATACTGTTTTACGACTCAGGAAAGATTTCGACAGACGATCACAGACAAAAAAATAAATGACGTCCATACCAACCCATTTATTTCACTGAAAAAAATTCTAATATTTTTTAAGTTAACTATGGATGGGTTTATAAATAAAAATATTTCATGCGTAGACCCTTGTTGTTTTTCTCTAGTCCTATTAGTTTTTTGAAAAATGACAGATCGTATTTTAATATGTTGGAGTGACGGAACGATGAAGAATGCTCGGACGCAAATGCGTATGAACTCGTCATAAGATTCTTGAAACTTGTCAAACTCTTGTCAAATCAAAGGTTATAATTTGTGCGAAATTATGTCAAATAACCAGCATTCTGAAACATTATAAATATTGGCGAATTAATACTACATTTTGGTTTGTGCTATTACTTGTGTTTTTTTAAGTTATGTGGAGGAAAAATCGAGGGAAGTAAATCTGAGCCAGAGAGTTGTATTAGCCACCAATAAATGCTGTATACCATCTCGTGTATAGTACTAAAAACAGGACAAGCTGTAAAATAGAAACATCACACGATAGGTAAATAACAATAGATTTTAGTACTGTAGAGAGGTAAGGTCAAAAAGCACTGGTTTTTAAAAAAAATAAAATAAAAAGTTAATTAGCCGACTTTTAAGGTATAAAATTCAGTTAACTGTTTGTAAATTATTGGTTATTATTAATAAAATAATTTCTTTAATTTTTGTCGTGTCTTATTTATTCCTGTGCAATATTAAAACTTTTTTGTTGTTGCCATTTGCCAGTTTCTTGAAGTTTAAAAGTAAATAGTTCTTTTTTCTAGATTTTTTGGATGTGGTGTTTTTATTTAACACACACGCTTGTTTGTTTTGTATTAACACAACCTTCTTTTTAGATAAAATAACTCGATTATATTTTTCAGTTTTAAGCAGTTTTTGTTATATTTTGAAGTAATCGTTTGTCACTAAAATTAAAAAAAAATATATTAATTTCCAGCTTTGCATTCCAATTGTACCAACTTATTTGTTTGAAAAAATTAACTACTTTGGAATTAAAATGACTGACATATCTATCACTGCCAAGGAATTTCTCGTTAGGCAAACTATATTGAATAAGCTGGGAATGAAATGTTTTGCAATGTGTAAAAATTTTTAACGAATGAGTCAACAGCTTGTATTATTATTATAGTAGTAAATTTCAGTCCTACCTGTGTCTACTATCACATCAATGAGATCCATACTCTTGGCAAACGCGTCCCTTAGGTTGATATGGTGGAAAGAAACAATGCTTCCCTCCCTCTTGGCACGTTCCAAGGCCTCCCTCCTCTTGAGCGCCTTCTCCCTTCGCATCTGGTTCTTGTAAAACTCGGCAAAATTGTTAACTATGATGGGAATGGGCAACGCGATCACCAACACACCGCATATACAGCACACGCTTCCTATTACTTTCCCTAAAGGTGTCGTGGGATAAATGTCCCCGTAGCCCACGGTGGTCATGGTGATACCGGCCCACCAAAACGTTTCCGGTATAGATATAAACTTCGTACCGGGTTCTTCCTTTTCCGCGAAATACGCCAAACTGGAGAATATCAACACGCCCATGGCAAGGAACAGCATCAACAGACCCAGTTCTTTGTACGAATTGCGCAACGTGAACCCTAACGACTGCAGCCCGGTGGAGTGGCGTGCCAATTTTAAAATACGTAAAATCCGCATTATCCTAAACACCTGCACGACCCTGCGTACATCTTGAAACTGATCGGTAGCGTTTTTATTCGTTTCTAATAAGAACAACGACACAAAATAAGGCAGTATGGCTAACAAGTCGATTATATTCAATCCGCCCTTAAAGAATTTCCATTTATTGGGCGACGCGCTGAACCGTAAAATGTACTCCAGCGAGAACCACGTTATGCAGACGGCCTCCACCATCGCCAGCTGGGGGTTGTCCTGGAAATTGCCCTTTTCGTCGTTCACCTGCATACTCGGTATAGTGTTCAATGTCAAGGCGATCGTCGATAAAACGATAAACAATATGGAGACGATGGCTATCACCTGGAAGGCAGATCAGATGGTACAATGACGTGTTTTCGAGACGCGACAACATAAACACAATTAAGCGAGAAGGGTTTTGTGAATCAATAGCTTCGCGGCGATATCGTTAGAAGGATTGTGTTATATCGTTAGAAGGTGTGCTACTATTTAAAGCATACACAATCACCATATTATTATTTAAAAGTAATTTTTATAACAAAATAAATATGCTTTTAATTAAAAAAATATATCTATATCCTTTACAAATTTTTAACGGGAAAATTGTTAAGTTATTGTAATTATTTTATTGTTTTCAGCAAAAACATATTATTAGATTATATTAATATATACATATAAGCATTTTTTGAAATGGCTAATGAATCGGTTTTTCTACTTGAGCTCGCTACCAAAAATATCAAAAAGCAAAAATATATTCTTTTTTGAAGTAAATTTTGTATATGTAAGTTTTTTGTAAAACATTGGAAAATGAACTTTTTGGGTGAATTATTTTAATTAGTGACAATTTTGCCTGTGAAAATTCTTCACAAGTCTTCAAGAAAGAATAAAGTCAATTAAAAAGTTGTTATAATAGTTACTTGTTAATAATACTATACGATCGAATAGTATTATGCGTTAGAGATTGAAATTTTGAAATAAAAATAAAATTATAAATATATTCCTCCATAATATTATATGAGTCCTTGATTGCACAAAACGATTAACTCCATAAAAAGTAGAGAAAAGCGATGAAATAACATCCATTGGTTTTTAAAATTCAATGTATAATATAAAGTAAAACAATTTTTGTAGAATGCAGGAATACAAATACAAAACATGTGAGGGTGTTTGGTGTTTTATCAAAAAACATGTGCCATCTCTCGTGGGGAGATTCCTCACATAAAAATAAGATTTATTTTTCATATCAACATAGGTCAGGTTCTGCTTTGTTACGTATCTACAGGGTGTTAAATTCTTAATATTTTTTTGATTTATTATAATTTTCTTCCAAGTACTTTTAGCGTTATGAATGAAATTTTAATGGTAAAAGTAACTGTAAATGCGTCATATATTTTAAAGCTAAAAAAGTGTGAATTGAAAAGCGACATAATCACCAGGGACGTGCATATGGGTTATCACTGGAACATTTTTCTAAAAATAGCATGTACGCCACTGATTTTTTTTTCTCTCGTTAGCAAAATAATGTAAGCAATTTAATTCCGATTAAAAGTTGTCTCTTGATATTTTGTCGATCTCGGCCTCCTTGATGAGATAAACGCAGTTTTATTAATTTGCTTTGATTCAAGTCAAATAGCAACCTTTAAAAAAATTACTATCGTTAACTTGAGAAAGTTTTAAATAAGTACTCATTGATTTCTCATCAAAAAATATGAAAAAAAGTTCCTATAAACATGGGTATGGAAATGCTTAGTTTTAGAGTTACAGGATGTTAAAACTTTTTACAATTAGGTTTTTTTATAATTATCTTAAATATCATTATTTTTTTATTTAAAACTGCTGTATGTTGGACTAATATTAATAATAACTAATAGTAATTATATTTAATAATAAATTAGGTGAAATATATAATTTATTAATTTTATTTTTATTTTAATTTTATTGATTGTGATTAATAAAATTGCGTTTATCGCAAGGCCGAATTGGACAAAATATCAAGGGATAACATTTAATTGGCATTAAACGGCCTACACAATTTTGATATCAAAAGAAAAAAGTCAGTGGCGCACATGTTTTTTTTAAATATTATAGTGATAACCCATATGCACGTCCCTGATAAATTTATTGGCACTTTTTTAGCATTAAAATATGTAACACTTATACTAACTTTTAACCCCAAAATGTCATTCAAATCACTAAAAGTGCTTGGAAGAAAATTATAATAAATCGAAAGATTATTATGAATTTAAGACCCTGTAGCTACGAAATAAAGCAGAATCGGACCTATGTTGATATGAAAAATAAGTCTTATTTTTACGTGAGGAATCTCCCCACGAGAGATGGCACATATTTTTCGAGACACCATCTCTGTATATATTTGTTTCAGAATCAGAAGTAATGAATTTCAACAGATCCATCATGTCTCTCCTTGTTTTCCTTGTTAGAGTTCTATCCCTAGGCTAAATTATTCTTAATAATAATTACATTAATTTTGACTTTACAATTGCTTGATTCTGCGGCAATTAGTATGTGATCAGCTGTGTGACTATGTTTTTACTTGTAGGTTAATAGGATGGCTCTAAGAAAATCACTGTAATCATCAGCGCTTGCTGGTGAATTAGAGTTTCATTAATGCAACATTCATGAATGAGTACGGATTTAATCAAAATGACCACTAAAATTAATTATTTATTATCCATTTGCTAAAAAAAATTATCCTTTAATGATGATAATCTATAATGTTTGGAAAAATTTTATAAATATAAAAAGTTTTGAATATGTATAAGGTATGCCATGCTCCTTGGAAGGCCAACTATAAAAAAGTCATAGTTATTATCATGTGATGACAAATTCCTTCCATTCACACTAAGCTCCATTAAACTCAAAGACACAGACACGGCGGCGAGTCGCTCGCGTCGCTATTTGGCTTGTGTCTAGCCCTAGCAGGCAACTATTAAGCCCGACCAATCACGTTAGAGTTTTTGACAAACACAAATAAATTAACACACTCCAAATAACCACGCTAACCAACCTGATTGGTCAAGCTTAATAGTTGACTGCTAGGGCTAGACACTTCTCTATTTTGTTAGTGCGATCCCTCGCTTCGTAGACTTCGGTCGTCGGTGTTAAATTGTAATTCGCGCACAGGAAAAAGTAAGTTTTTATGTAAATAACTTATTATTATCTTATTTTTTTAAATGTAAATTATCATATAAGTATTTGTTATGGTTCTAAAAAAAATAATAGTTTTGCTTTGATTTCAGTTAAAATATCGGCAATGTTCCTACGAAAGTCGGTTGTTCCTTATAAGGCCAATCAAAAATTTGACGATTGGCCTTCTTAGGGTACATGGACCTTACTAGGAACATTTACAAATCATGAAAATATGAACACTTAATTTTTAGTTATAAATACGTACCGGGAAAATGCGAAGTTGAAACAATGTTTTTCGTTTATAATACCGTATGATCGAAAAAAAAACGGCGTCCAGTTGGCTGGGAAATGAACATCAATGACATTTCCCATATAAATTTACATATAAAATGACAGCGATCTTCATTCCATAGCCATCGCTGACGCCGTTTTTTCTCGATCATACGGTATTATTATTTATAAAGGTTATTCAACTTTTTAACTAAAAAACATTTTGTCCCTACAAAGAACAAACCCGTAAGAAGGCTATTATAGGTAATTTTTGTTTTTTGTAATTTCATTCTAGAACCCATTGGCAACTGATTTGTTATCGATATAATACTCATTTAAATAATTTCCATTAATATATTCTTAGTTATACGATTGTGATCAAGGAATGTTCGTTGTGTTTTTTTAAAGAAGATTATATAATGTGTTAAGCATTTAATTTTTTTATTTAAATGAAAGAACTTTTTATATAATTTTAGTAAAAATGGATATTTTGATTATTACAACTCTAGTTTTAAGTTAAACGACTGATTTATAATTTTGGCCTTGTATGGAGCCCTGTTCCTTGCAAGGCCGTTTGGAAGAGCTTAATAAAAGTTAAGTTTAATAAATAGTGATTACATCTAGAACAAAAAAAGTAATGTATATGTTACACAATAAAACAAAGTGTTAATTAATAATTTGTTTCTTTCATTTATCCAGTAAATGAACTAATAAAAACTGTTTATTTGTTACAGTGGCCTTCCATAGCCCACCCACCTTACCAAGTGTTTTTAACATAAATTTAAGATTTTTCAAAATGTGGAGTTAATCGATTAGTGCAGTGAACGGTTCATTATATTTCCCTTGGTCATTTCCAAGCCACTTGGACCCCTTTTTTATTATGTAATATAAATATTTACATTTACAAGTTATTTTTATAATTAATTATTTACAATGCTCAGTGGTTTTTGAAACATAACATAAACATAACATAATAATCTACTAAGAATATTAAGTATCATCAACATATTTTACTTGTCTTCCACATCGTTCTATTTTCCAATATTTTTTCAATCAGAATTCAATAAATTCTCAATTTAACAAACTCTTATCTCTTTGACCATCTTTTGTTAATAAATAATGCTTACATTCTTTGCCCTTGTCGACTTTAAGACTTTAATAAAAGAACCGATTCGTGTTTGTATTGCAGTAGTGATGACGATACCCGAAATTATTCCTACCCGGGTACCCGAAACTATTACCCGGGTATCACCCGTTACTCGAAAATGACCCGTCACCCGAAAATGGCCCGATACCCGAGAATGACCCGATACCCGAGAATGACTCCGATACCCGAAAATTACCCGTTTAAAAAATATTATAACTATTAAAATAGGGTCGTAATCGTTTAATAAATACAAAAAGTACAAACTACATACTATTACACAAACTACATAAAAAAAAAATAATATGTCGTTACTCGTTAATACTGTTTTGTTTTTTAGTGTTGTAGTTAATACTCAACCAAACATTATTCTAAACATAACAACATAATAATATTATATTATTTTTATATACCTAAAAGTTAGGTAACATAACAATCATAATAACGACTAACACAACAGGATTTTTAGAAACAGAAACCAAAAAGTGTAAAAAGTAAAAAGAACTAAGAATAATAAGGAATAAACAAGACATACGTATCGTGTTCAGTGCTGCAGAAAATACTTGATTCTGTTGGCGTTTACAAATAGCAAGGTACTGTTTGTGGACGGTTTCAGTCTATTGCGAGATTTTGTTATGTGTCGTCCTGCAGCCGAAAAATGTCTTTCACTAGCAACTGAGGTGGCTGGTATACATAAATAATATTTTGCCACGGCTAAATTTGGGTAGGCGTTTTCGTGTTTTTCCACCAAACACATACATTTTCTGGTCTTCCAATT